CTGTATGAACAGGGGCAATTAGGGCATAACATGCCAGCCATGAACTGGGAAGTGCCATAGGAGGAATGATTACTATGGAAAGGCCTTTGGGTCCTTGAAACACACAGTAGGAATGCTTTTGCCCTTTCTTGTCTTCCAGACCTCAGATGTCTTCCTATACCTACCTGATAGCCTTCCTCCTGTTCCTTTGTTTCTCTTTATGTTTCTGTGTTTCTCCAGAGCTGCTTTGGACCCTTGTAATCTGCAAGTCATAGAATCCAAGACCTGAAAAAGGTTGGCTTTACAGATCATTGGGTGCAGGCTCCTCTACAGATGAAGGCACAAGTCTAGATGAGAAGGGACTCCGGCAGGGTCAGATTTGTTAGTGCAGCTTGAGATGGGGCTTACCCCGAAGCCTCCTGACACAACTCATTCCCAGGCCAAGAAATAGGTCTCCACAATCAGACTTGTGATTTTCGTGGCAAAGGATAAATAACATCAGAAGTGTTTGATTTTCTGCTCCTAGTTTTCATTGCCTTCCCCATTCAGCCATGAAGAGAAACAAAAGACACTTGTAGTTTTCTCTGTATCCCAAGCCTTGGCATTTCTTTTGATGATACTGCTGAAGAACTGTGAAGTTGATACAAAGACTGAATAATCCACCCACTGATTAGCTAATCTGGGGAAGATATAAAAGCTTGCTATGTGAATCCCCCAAAAACCACAGTTCTCATCAGGCCTCCTGGAGCCTCCCCACCCCCTTATGGTACAGCCCTGTTTACTGGGTCCCAAACCCACTAGTATTGTGCCTCACTTCAGCTTCTTCATGCAACTGCCATCTCCCTCTGGATAAAAGACCTCATATTTAAAATAAAGTTGAAATATAAGGATATGATAAGGATTGAGAAATACTGTTTGTTTTGTGCAAAGGGTGGCAGATGACCCAGAGGCAAGATTTCTCCCTCCTACCCCACATTTCTTGGTCATTTGTCTCATTTCTTAAAAGTCCTGTTCCCTGTCTGCTGGAGTCTTCTGTCTATGCAAAAATTGGGTGGGAAGATATGGAGGAGTTGGACAGCCCTGATAAAAGACACCCCAACAGGATCCCATCACCATTTTGGGTAGGGGTGGAGAGAGTTACCAGGGCTCAGCTCCTTAGTTCCTGGCACTGAGCACCACCGCTGCTGGTGCAAAGGAGACAGCTTGGGGGAAAGTCCTGTGTTCCTCCCTGAGTTTGGGGGGGTCTTCTTCCTTCAGGGGGCCATTTAAGTTATACTCTGCTTCTTCTTAAGTACTGTAGGGAAGAGCAGAGCCCTTTTCCTTATCAAGGGCAACCTTAAAGCAAAGGCTGAGAAATAGGATGGAGAGGAAAAGCACAGACCTCTGTCTAATCCAGAATGTAGCAATGGAAATAGATACTAAAGGAAGGCATCCTAGAAAAGATCAAGTTCTAGCATACTATGGACTCCTGCATCACCTGAATAATGAAAGAATCCAATTGCCAGCAAAGTAAATAGACAATGTTCCTAATAGGGAAGCCCTAGCCAGAGAATGATCAGATGTTTCCTCACTGCATCATAATAGCCAAGTTGTGATGTCACTGCAGAGCACCCACTCAGTAGTATGTGTTCTAAGTTAAACCAGGTATGCTGAAGGGTAGAGTCAGCATCAAGAACAGATACCCAAAGAGAGATAAGTGGTGGCTTTCCAATTCTCTCCATAGCTTATTGCCTAAGGCCCCTCTGTGGTCCTAATGTCTTCCCAGACTTCTCACCTCTTAGTTTGGCAGTAGGTTTGTCTGAAATCCTTCCACAGCCTCCTTCACTGCAGCTTTTGCTATCCTCAGTTCTCAATAATTGCAGTTCTGATGGGTCAGCTCTCAGCTCTGCTATTTCTTAGGAGATGGCACAGAACTCTGGAGCAAGATTCTCCCAAGGGAGGCAGCAATTCACCATATCTATTTGGGTAGTCTGAGGGGTAGATCCAAGTTTTTGGGTACCTGAAACATACAACTTTGGAGCCTTTTATAAGAAAAATACATGAGGCACAAAAGTGAAAATGGTTTATAATGAGAAAAGATATGAACAAATTAACAGTTTTTAAAAAGCTGACAAATACCACAATACCAGAAGAAAAATAACTTAAAAAGTCTACCTGCAGGCCTAAATATTTTTTCTTATAATTTTGTTTTTGGCTGTGTGCTCTTTGATGGCCTTTTCATGATTACTTTATATAATATTTTCTATAAAAAGTATAGAAAGGTAACTCAGTCTTCTACATGATCATTTATTTTTTACTCTTGGTACTTAGAAAATTTTCACCTTCATACTTAGTAATAATGTCACATAATTTTTTAGGATTTCTGTCAAACTTGGGGTGGGGAACTTTGGTAGTGTATGATTTTGGAGCATTTCAAATTTGCAATGACTAATGTCATATACTCTGAATTGTTGACATTAGGAATATTCCTGGAAGCATTTATGTATTAGTTTGGTAGGGCTGCCATACAGAATGAGTGGCTTAAACAACAGAAATTAACAGTTCTAGAAGCTAGAAGTCTGAAATGAAGGTGTTGACAGTTGATTTCATTCTGAGGTTCCTCTCTCCTTGGCTTGTAGATAGGCATCTTCCAATGTAACATTTCCCCTTTGTAGACTTTAAGTCCGAATACAATTATATTCTGAGGTACGGGGAGATAGGACTTTTAACATGAATTTGGCAGGGTGGGAATGGGGGGAGATGCAGTTCAGCCCAGACACTATACTTGCTATTTATTCACAAACCACACACATATGCCTACTAAACCCAAACTAAATGTATCACTGACTCAGCCAATCCCAAAATGCCCATGGCCTCTCTGTTGCCACCTGACGAAAGGGAAGTATGATAGAAGGGAAGTCAAAAAGTTATCTTAACCAATTGCAGTTTAAGTGTTTTTTTTAGATTTTACAAAAACCTACAACCATATTAATACTGCAGCTCCACCAGTACTTTGGAAGAGGTCTATGCAAGGGATGGCCCTGAAACTTCAGTTTCCTTAGCTATAGGACACATGTGCCTTTTGTCAGTCCTAATATCAGCCATGCCAAGGGAGAGAGAATTTCACCAAAGATGGGGGATTGACATCTCTACATTGAGAATGACATGGTACATCCCCATTCTTCAGCACTAGACTCTGAAGATCTGGGAGGGTTAGTGTCTTCCTAAAGGTGTCAGGTACCCTCTGTTTTCTGATATTGTCAGCCTGGGCTTCTTCCTCTTTTCCACTCTCCCATCCTAGAGCACTTCATCTTCTAAGGCTTTAGGATGAAACCCACATACAAGAGGGAGGCTCCAGCCTGCACCCCAGAATTGGGACCTAGGAGTTTCGCCTTTCCTTGGATTCTCCCTCTCCTAGACCTTTGTGCTCCCTGTTCTTGACCCTTGGGGCTGAGTACCTTTATGAGACAATGAATGTGTCAGAGTTGTTCACCTTTCATAATACCAAGCCTGTGATCAGTGATGCCCAGAGTGCCTAACTGAACCCTCCAGGGGTAGGCACTAAATTCCCACAGGCAGTGCCTGCCTGACTTCCAGACAAGCATGGATTTCCTTGGTCAATCCAGTCTCATTGTTTGGATTAGGAGAGAATGACCCCTCTACTGAAAACAGCTATTGCTGCCTAAAATGTTCCACTTTTCCCTTCATCATATACAAACCATTCGGGTGTTGTAATAGTCATGATTTAAGAGAAGGTCTGTGTATACTACCACTCCTGGCTTAAACCCTGAGGGAATCAAGAGAGTCTAATTCTAAAGCTGAATTGTTTACTCCTATAATGTTTTTTGGCCATACTAGTTTGAAGGGCATGGGGCTGGCTCTTAGGAGATTTTTACTAAATGTAATAGGGGGAGGGGGTAGGCAGGGGCAAATAATAAACCCTATTTTTTTCTGAAAATAGGACTCAGTGCTGAAGAAGAGAGATGTTTCGAATATCTAGTAACTCTGAAAGAACTCTAGACCTTACAGGGGCAAGATGAAGAATCAGAAGTAGCAGTTATGCTGTTTGGCCTTTGCAGGGTATGTGTGGAGGGCTAAGCTCTGAGGAACACAGCACAGACTCTGAAATTGCTTTATAAATTATTGTAGCTATATAAGCTATTAAGTGACCTAGTCAAGAAGAGACTTTTTCAGTGACCAGCATGAGAACAGAAGCATTACTTCAGCAAGTATTAGAAGGCTGAGAATCCTATATATACAGAATTTTTGACTCAGTACTAAGGAGTGTGGACTACTGCTTTGGTGGAAAGCCCATTTTATCGTTACGGTTTTTTGGCAGGGAAAACCAAGGTTCCCCCAAAAAGGGTCAGGGCTACAGGTCCTCTCTATTAAGGGCAGAAAAGAGCCTGGGGGTCAGGTAGGTCCCATTGAGGTGACTCCTCCAGCACTTCATCTTTGAGAACACTTGTCCCGTGCCAGCTACACCCGAGAAGCTATCAAAACCAGGCTGCTAGGATCCTCGTCTTTCCGGGTGGCAAGGCATTTGATCCATCTTGAGAAGAGCCCCGTCGCTCCAGGCGCTTCATTTGCAGTGACGCTGTTGAAGGCGGTTGGACCCTCGGCTGGGAAGGCGCTAGTGTGAAGGCTTGGCAAGGGGATGCTGAAAAAGTCTTCCTTCAGGAGGTCACAAACGGGAAATAATTGTACAGGCGGTCTGGACAGTTCAGCAAACTGCTATGAATTCCTCCGGGGGAGGTGAGGAAGAAGGTTCTGGGAAAAACAGGGCCCAGCGTACTCCGAAGGTCCGGCACCGGTAGGTCGAGAAAGTGGGGAGGTACCAGTCACTGCATCCTGGCCCCGAGGGGACATCTTCTCTGGCCCACGCACCCAATAGCCACCCCGGCTGAGGCGCTCACAGCCAATAGAGGACTTAAGCCGAGACCCCGCAGCCAATGGTCGGCCCAGTGCGTTCCTCAGGTGCCCGCCTGCCCGCGTCCACCAATAGAGACTTTGGACACCTTGGCACCGCCCCTGGGTCCCGCCCCGCCTCCAACTCGCTGGAGCAGGGCTGGGCTGGACGGGCGCGCTCTCGGGGGCACGGGAGCAGTCCTGGTCCGGCTCTCCGCGCGGGTGGGCTCGGAGTAGGCCGCAGCGAGCCGGAACCCCATTCCCATCCCGGAGGCTCCCTGCCCTTTCTCCCCTTTTCCCTTTGGCCCATGGTGCGAGGCTGGGAGCCGCCGCCCGGGCCGGACCGCGGTGAGTGATCCCCAGCCCCTTCGACTTCCCCTCCCAGCCCCTATACGATCTCCGACCTCCGGAGCCCCATCCCCGCGCTTGGGGGAGGAGAATTCCGGGTTCGAAGTCGCCCGGTTGTCTTTCTCCTCTAGACTTTTCGGTTCCCTGTTGTAACTGGGGGTGGGTGAGTGGGTGTGTAGGGAGGAGGGGAAGGCTGGTTGGGACGCCCTTGGCGACGGTAGAATTGAGAATCGCCTAGTCCCTGCGGGGGGGGGGGCTCATCGCCCCAAGTGCAGCAACTTTTTGTTCTCTGACCCAATTTGGAGCCTTGTAGACTGCCTGTGAAATGGAGGATAGGAGAAACGTTTCCTTCCCAGGCCTCCCCCACCCCGCTCCCCGCCATAACTACCTCCTGGCGACCTCAACACACATACGGAAACCTTGTCTTACTTCTGGGGAGCCGTGGCCTTTGGGAATGAAAGGTTTAGGAGTAACTGCCCCTGCAGATCCCCTACCCAGCCGTACTCAGAAAACCAACCAGAATGGTGAGAACCCAAGTGTTGCATCTGAGACTTCTAAACTGAAATAAGACTCAAACTGAGACCTGTTTGGTAACGTCGGCCCAAATCAGGAGATGTTATGTTATATGAACCTCCTTCTCACCGTACATTTGAAGCCCATTTATATGATTTGGATAGGTAGGTGACAGTTGTGGGGGGAAAAAGCCAGTTAAAGTTGGGAATTTGTAAAAATGATGCATACATATCCCAAGTATTGTCATTAAAAATACTCTCATTTCACCAATCTTTTGGGGTAGTTGTCCAGGCATCTTTTAAGTCTGCTGACTGGAGTTCCCAATTTTCTTTCCAGTATGGACTACACAAGTAAATCTCAAATCTGGCTTCACCCTGAGAACTTTTTAAAACTACTGATGCTTGGGCCCCAGTCCAGACTAATAAGTCAGAATGAAGAGGCAGGTTTAAGTTTCACAGGTAATTATGATGTGTAGTCTGAGAAGAGAGGCACTGCCTTTCATTATCTGTGATCTCCAATTTTGGTGTCTTTAGAGAGGGAATTTAAATACTTTTGAAGGAATTTGAATGCAGAATACCATTGAGATTTGTAAGTCCCTTGCCCCTCCAACCTTTTACAGTTGTCTTGCCTACTCTCAACAGTCTTTAAATTGTACACTCCTTTGTACTATGCTTTTCCAAAGCATTTGACTTTATTTCATAGGAGCAATTTTTAATGAACTTTTTTTATAAGTTTATGTGATGTTTAATTACATTATTATATAAGTACAGAAAAATAACAGGCATAAGCAGCTTTGGAATCAAGTACAACTGGCCCAGGCACACTAGGCAGCTGAAGGAAACAGATGATTTCAGCACACTTACCCTACTAGCCTCTAGTATCCATTGCACTGTGGGTACCCCAGGGGTCCATTAAGCCAGGCTCCTGGCTCAGTTGAACACCCCTCTCTTTCACTTTCTCCAACTAATATCTAATCCCTTATAGACTTGCTCAAATTCTGGGTCTTCTTGCATTCACCCTTTTCATTCATTCACATCAAGCTGTCAGATCCTTTAAGCAATTGGCGCCATTGCCTTTAATGAAGTTGGGAGGATAAAATGCAGAGGTTCTTAACCTGGGCTTCTGGGCAGCCAGTGAACCTCCTGAGATTATATAATGTATAAGTGTGAATGTTTATTTTGGGACGGTACTCATAACTTTCTGAGGGTCCATAACTTCTTATTTTCTTTTTTTTAAATAATAACTTCTCGTTTTCAAAGAGGTTCATGAACCAAAAAGTTGAGAAACACGTAAGTTGAATATCACTAAAAGTCCTTGAAGGGCCTTAAAACTATCACCAAAACACATTTTAGGCAGTACTTCAATTCTTCTCTGAATAAAGATTTATGGGATTTAGCAGGATCATATCTGGTCTCTCAAACTGTCTTCTACTTTAAACATAAGCAGAGGTTTAAGTCTAAAATTTTGAACACCTTTTTCTCCTAGGATTGTGTTGTGAACACATAGCCGGGAAGTTTAAGGCAGCCCATTCTTTTCTGCCATCTGTCCAGGGGTATGGAAAGCCCAAAGGAAAAGAAGGGTATTATTGTGACTATATTTTTTATTAATGATTTTAGCAGTAGAAAGTAGGAGTCTTATTTCCCCAGCTTTGATTCCCTTCCTTTTTATCCTCTCCAAATGGAGGCATAAGAACACAAGAGACAGTAGTGTTTTCATTGTGGTTTTGATTACTGTACCTACTTGTTATATCTGCCCTACTTGTTATAGTTCTCATGAGCCCTTCTCTAGTTGTAGTTTCTTCCTATTTCAAAGCCAGATTCTTCCAGGGATGTGCCAGCTATACAGCTGTGCCGTTGTTTAAGCCATCATTCTGTATCAGGAAGTCTTCTACAACTTGTGTTTTGTGTAATTGGAAAACTGTGGTTGTATGTACACCAAATATGGTATGTGCGTCACGGAATATTATGTTGAAATACCAAGCTGATGCCACGAGAATCTGAAGGATAGCAAATTACATGAATGAAAGCAAAATGCTTCCTGTAGGCTTGTATCTATGCCTACCTTATATCCCATCTGGCAGTCTTCATCCTCACACTGGACTGCTTTATTCCTGATGCTACATTTTTCTCATATCTAAAGTTATGTTGGGTCCTTGAAGAACAAGACACAAATAAGATTAAGTAAATGCCAAGTGTTGCAATCATAAAAGTATTCTCCAGCTTAGATGTGATGGTGTTCTCAGTGGAACACAAACTTCTAAATGGTGGTTTTGCACCTGGCCATGCAAGCGTTTCCTCACAGGCCTCAGCTGTGTCCGGGATGAACCTGGAGGGTAAAGGTAGAGCTACCCACTGGCATTCACTTGGCAATCAAAAAGGATTTATATCAAATTATGGATTCAATTCTCCAGTGGCCCTGATTATCATGCTATTTTAAAGCAGCAAAATCCACTCTGGAGTTATATCCAGCTCCCAAAATATAAAATGTATGAAGTCATAGATGCCCTGGTTTCCTCCACTGCCCATCAGAATTAGGACTCAACATAAACAGACTGAAAACAGTGATTTTAAAGAATTTAGTGTTAGGAAGAGCTTTACCTTAGAATCACTTGTGAGGCTAAAGTACCAATAAAAGCTATTTGTTGTAGGCATAATATCAAGTGCATTTTTTCATTTAGTCATAAACTTGTGAGGTAGGTGCTATTACAATCTCCTTTCTCTCTGATGGAAAACTAAGGCTTAGAGAAGTTCAAATTAACTTGTCTGAGGATAAGCAGCACTCTAGGAAGTGATGGAACTGCAACAAATCTCAAATCTGCTCCATCCCAGACCTCCATCTTTAACAGCTCCTTTAGGCTTTGCCTACACATGACAGCTAGCGCATACTAGGGGCTTGGTAAAAAAATGTAACTACACAGCAATGTCTCCATTTTTTATACAAGAGAAATTGAGGTTTCTGTAAGTTCAGTAACTTCTTCCCAAGATTACAGCTGATAGCAGAATTTGAATTCAAATTGCAGGTTGGCCTTACTCAAGAATCATATTTCTACTCACTATACCATGCTGCCTCCATTTACCCTCTTAATGTTCTCTTCAAGTTGTGTTACCCTTAGGATCTGCATGGCCTTCAGTTTGTTAGATTTGCTTGTTAAAGGGGAATGGTGAAACACATTAAAATTCTTCCAATTTTTTTTAAGCGTCACATAAAATCCCTTGATATTACACTGATCTATCTATAACTTTCTGGACTTGAGATTTTTCTTAATTTGTCATGTAACATTTACCTAGGAATCCTGTCCCTTCTTTAACATATCAGAAGTTACATTTATATACTCAGAAGGGATTCCTCCAAGAGTAAAGAGTAACAGATGTATGAGTCTCTAATGTCCACACAGGGAGTGGGGTTAAAATTCCATCAACAGAATTATTCTGGGAAATGATTTGAGCAGGTATTCCAGGAATGAAGCATAGTCAGGGGCTGTCCCTGCAATCCCCACACTCATAACCCTGGGAGCAGTGGTGCTACTGGGAGGCTCGCATGACCTGGCTACAATTTATAATGAACCTGCCCACCTGGTCCTGAGAAAGCTGGACTGAAGAGATAAGAGCTGCACGGTTCCACCCTGTGTGGAGGGGCTGTTAAAGTGTGAGGGAGCTCTCTTAAGCTCCCTGGAGAGAAAGTGAGCAGTTGGAAGAGACAAAGGCTGGGGTGAGGGGCTAAGCTTTGTTTTGAGGATGACTTGGGGGCAGGAACGGTACCCCCTCTCTGTGCTCACAGGACCTGAACCCTGGGGGAGTAAGCCCCATTTATCCCAGATAACTGACCTCATATCCTATTGAGAGAAAAAATAAAGCTATCAGGTTTGGATTTAGGGCTTAAAGGTACTATTGTTCCCCTCCCCCAACCCTCCACCATCAGGAAGGAAAAGGAAAGGGGGTTGGGCACAGTGCTGTCCTGCCTTCTAGATACTCATCGGTTATAATCTTGACCTATCTCCACATTTTTACCATAAATTGTTAGGAGCCAGAGTGTAACAGTTCTGAAATTAACTGCTCCTCTTATTTTTGTGGTTGAGTTTTCATTTTGTGACTCTTGTTCTTTGATCATAGAAGGCAAAGTGAGTTTGAATTGGAAAGATAAAGGCTATTATGAGAATGAGTTTTCCTCCTTAACCTCTAAAGACAGATTTTTGTCTTGGTGACAGTATTTACTAGTCATGTGACTTGGGATAATTTAACTTCCATTAACTTTGTTTTTCATACATAGGACAGGAATTACAGCAGTCTCTGATGACTTCAAAAGGTTATGAAATTAAGGGAGAAATTGTTAAAGCCCTTTAAAAGCACCCAGAAAGGTACACATAGAAAGTCCATGGTTTTGGAGTCCAGTGGAGCCCCAGTGACTGAGTTGTTTCTTTTCTTACTACAGCTATCTCTGAAGGGCACAAATCAGAAAGCACCATGCCTCCTAATAAAGAAGCCAGCAGTCTTAATAGCTCCCCAGTGGGCCTCATCTGCCTCCCTCCTATCTCTGAGGAGCTACAGCTTGTGTGGACCCAAGCAGCCCAGACCAGTGAGCTGGATGGCAATGAACACTTGCTCCAAACCTTCAGCTACTTTCCCTATCCCAGTCTAGCAGACATTGCCCTTCTCTGCTTACGCTATGGGCTGCAGATGGAGAAAGTCAAGACTTGGTTCATGGCCCAGCGACTCCGCTGTGGCATTAGCTGGTCATCTGAAGAAATAGAAGAGACTCGAGCCCGAGTGGTCTACCATCGGGACCAAATCCATTTCAAATCCCTTCTCTCTTTTGCCCATCATGCTGGGCGGCCCCCAGAGGAGGTGCCGCCTTCTCCAATGCCACCTCCAGAACCAGTTGGTCTTGGAATAGTGCCCCTGACCCTCAGTGAGTCTGCTCACATGAAAGGATTGAAGGTAGAGCCTGAGGAGTCCTCAGAGCCACTGAGTCACCAGAAAGCAAAGGAGTCCCTGATGGCATCTGGCAGTGGGGCACTCCCCAACCAATCAGGTTCTTGGCAGGATCTGCAAAGCAGTAACTGTCCTAAGGAGCAGGCAGGCAGGGGTCCTGACCAGTCACGTGGCCTAGGTACTACTTCCTGGAACCACTCCACAACTGTCGTCCAGCCACGTACCCAGGATAAGTCCTCACCGATCTCATTACTTGCCAGTAGTTGTAAGCAGGAGTCTGCATCTAATGTGACTCCTCCTTCTCCCTCTACCTCTTCTTCCACTTTCCAGGTACTGGCTAATGGAGCTACCGCCACCTCTAAACCCCACCAGCCACTAGGCTGTGTTCCACAGCCACTGTCACCCAATGAACAGGCACTACCCCCACAGCTGGAGCCGGTATGGCACCAGAGGCTAAGGCATAACTCAGTAGCAGGTAGGGTTGGCTCTGCAGAGTACCTTTCCCCAGATATGCAACGCCAGCGGAAGACAAAGCGTAAAACCAAAGAGCAGCTGGCTATCCTCAAATCCTTTTTTTTACAGTGCCAATGGGCACGGCGTGAGGATTACCATAAATTAGAACAGATCACTGGTTTACCTCGGCCTGAGATTATTCAGTGGTTTGGTGACACACGCTATGCTTTGAAGCATGGGCAACTAAAATGGTTTCGGGACAATGCAGTACCTGGTGCCCCTAGTTTCCAGGACCCAGCAATTCCCACACCACCACCTTCAACCCGCTCCTTGAATGAATGGGCTGAGACACCACCTCTGCCGGTTCCCCCACCCCCACCAGATGTACGGCCCCTCGAAAGGTACTGGGCCACCCACCAACAGCTTCAGGAAAGTGATATTCCTCAGTTGAGTCAGGCGTCAAGGCTTAGCACCCAGCAGGTACTGGATTGGTTTGACTCTCGATTACCTGAGCCAGCTGAGGTGGTAGTTTGTCTAGATGAAGAGGAGGAAGAGGAGGAGGAAGAACTGCCAGAAGATGAGGATGAAGAGGAGGAGGAGGAAGAGGATGATGACGATGATGATGTGATCATACAGGACTGAGTGGGGGGCTAAGGGAGGGGAGGCTTTTTACTAAAAGATGAACCAACTTAGTAACTGTTAAAACAAAGAAACCACATTTTAAAAATTACTTTGTGGCAAAGAACTGAAAAGCTTTGTGTTCTTGAGGTGGGGGAACAGGGTTGCAGTGAGGGTGGATCAGGGAAGATGACCGTAGGGCATAAAGTGAGGTGGGGATTGGATGGGTAGAACTGTAGGCCTCAAGTCTCAAAGAAGAGAGTGCTAAGGATCTGGTCCAAACTGTAGGCTGGGAAAAGTTTCTTGCCCTCCTCATAGCTGCTGTTCTTTTCCCTTAATATGCTACAGAGAGGCCAGACCTTGGCCCCACATCTATAGGAGGTTTGGAAAGGAGGAGTAAGGAATTTTGATTCAATTGATGATTCCAGTGAATCCCCCAATCCCACCATTATCCCTGGGCTATAAGGCTGCCTTACACCCCTTTTCTCTCTGAGCACAAGTCTGAATAATGCAGTGAAGAATCTCAATATGTCCCAGTCTGATCACAAGTACTTCCTCTTCCTCATATCAACCTGACTTCATATGTTTTACCTGCTTCATTATGGAGTCACACAGGTAGCAAAATGTCTTCATTTCTGATACTGGGATCACTTAGCCTTGTATCCTTTTTATCTTTTTCTGAAATCCCATTTTGTTCACTATTTGTCTCAGGGTAAATCTTCCCCAGGGAACTGGTGAAAAGGTTTAGTAATCAGGTGGAGAATAATTTAGACTGGATATTTATTGGAGGTGGGAATTAGGGGAAATGTCCTTTAAAAAAAAAGTAGAATTAGGTTACAAAGGGATAGAGGAGAGGGGATGGTTTCTAAGTTCTGAAGGATGGTGTGGGTAGGTTCCAGGTTTGGTTATACAAACCCAACACTCCTGCCTAGCTTGACAGACTGATTTCTCATCTTTTGGGTGTTGGTTTAATCTGTGTCCAGAATAGAGATTTTTCCCTCTCTTTATAGGGCCTGTGTTGGGGGCAGAGCAACCATGGTCTTGAATTAATTACTGGTGTTTCAGAATGGTTTTCATCAGTTGAGGTCAAATATAAAGATATCAATGGGTTAATCATCAAGAATTAAGAGTGGAAGCCCCAAATTGCTAGAATAATAGTAAAAGGCCAAAAATAAAATTGTTTCCCTCTCCTCCACTTTACCATTTCTATGGTTTAGACATTAATGGAGTCCAATTCATTAACATTCTGATTAGTGTACTTTTCTTTTTCAAGCAGCAGGATATATCGAGGTAAATTAAAAGAACAAAAACTTTAAAAGGCAGTTGATTGGTATCTATCAATGGGTAGATTGTTTCCTGCACCTGCTACAGCACAGGCTCTTGCCCAGAAGAGGAAGTGCCCAGAAATGCGTTTAAAAAGAAATTCAAGGGTTCTAGAAATCATAGTGGGATCCTAGTTCAGCTTCAAGGTCATTCTCAAGACTTAGTTTATTTCTGGCAGGTGCTTGCTATCTTTAAACTTCAAATATTTTTTGCTAAAGGCCTATCTGTTAGTGGGTCATCCATTTAATTCCTAATTTCTACCCCTTAGTACCTAAAGAAGAATAAATGTTTTATCTCAGTGGTAGTTTTTGACCATTCCACCATTTTGGAGCTTGTAATATAATACCAAGAGAGTTGCAATAGCAAAAGGGCATCCTCTTTATTATCTATGTGTTTGAGTAAGCTGAAAGTCTGTCTCCAATTCTTCCCAGACAGAAAGGAAAATAACATTTAATAACTAGCCATAGAGGAAACAATAGGCAAGTAGAAAAAGTATAATATATTAGGACAAGGAACAGAGTTGTTGATTGTTAACACTGGCAATGGGAGAATATATCCAAAGCTAAAAGAATTAAATCCACACCCAGTAATGTCAAGAATTGTTTTTACAACCTTTGTTTCAAGTTGTAGGAAATGAAGGAGTTAACATATGTCTTGTGGGAGAGAAACATCTTCCTGAAGCACTAGCCTTACAGAAGACCAGACCACTTTCCTAGGAGGTAATACAGGGTGTGTATGGTAAAGATGGAGAGAGAAGGTACAGAGCAAAACCAGGAAACAAGGCAGGGGTACATTTTCCAAGGTCATCACACCTAATGGCATTGGCTGCTACAGTCCATCCTTTAGCAATATGTATAGATCAGATCTTGAAGATGGTTTATCTGAAAGTAGTCCATGCTTCTCTCCCTCTGGTTAATCCCATCTGCCTCTGTTGGTAGAGAGTCTGCAGCAGAGGACCAGAAGGCAGATATGGGTGTTTATAACAAAAAGGACAAGTAAGGCCCTCTAAAGCTATTGTATAAAGTTTCAGCACAGTAAACCACTGCTGTTGTTCTTCCATAGTTCTCTCCATTGCATGGTAAGTAGCTTTTCCAAACTTAGATTTTGATACATCTAGTGTGACAAAGGCTTCGGTGCTACTTATGAAACTCTTGAGAACATTTTCATGGTTTATGGTTATAAAGCAGAATATTTGAAAATCCAACTATTTTGGAAGAACTAACATGATTGCCATGCCCAGAGATGATTATGAGGGTGACAAAATTTTCACACCTCTGGGGAGGTGGGGCTTTTTTCAGTAACTTTTTAACTTATTATGGAAATTAAAAATATAAGACTGAAGTAGTGTAATGAACTCACATGTACCCACCACCAAGTTCAGCAAGTAACTCATGGCCAATTTTCTTTCATTTCTATTTTTTCCCTGCTCCTCCCCACTAGATTATACTAAAGCAAAACCCAGAAAATCACTTAACTTCCTATCCATAAATGTTTTAGTATGTATCTCCAGAAGAGATTATTTTTAAAAAAATATAACTACAATAGCATCGTGCCTACAATAAAACTATTAACAATTCCTTAATATCAAAAGTCTAAAAGTATTCAGTTTTCCTCAAGTTTCTCATAAAAGTTTTTTACAGTTTTGCTTCAGTCAAAATCCAGTTAGAGGCCATATATGTGTAGATGTTTTATATGTCTTTTAAGTCTTTTTCCACCTGTGGGTTAATCCTTCCATTTGTGAGGATCTTAGAGAGGGATATTATTTCCCTAGCGTTGCCTCTTAGGGCTTAGACCCTAATTGCTTGCTGATGAAAATAAAGGGCATTTTGGAATGTAAAGGCAAAATAATTACCTACCTTAGTATTTCCTTGGGGTCACTGTGCTTGGCAAGGAAAAAGGGCGTAAATATCCTTAGGACCTAAATATCCAAACCCCAAGCCTTAAAATTAAATTTAAAAGGCAAGACTGAACTTTTCATTTTAATAGAACCCCTTACAAATCTCTGTTCTCACTCCCATGCCCTTTACTTTTTGTTGCCTGGATCAGAATCATAGTCCTATCAACTTACAAAAATTGTTCTAACTATTTCTGGAGAAGTAAATGTGGTTTTTCCTAGTTCTAACATTACTTCTAGCCAAAAGATATATTCTGTTGGAAATACCTTTTTGGGGAACTTCTGAGAATGTCAGTTGTATCTGTACACTTAGTTCATGCTGGCCAAACCCTCACAGCTTAAAGCCTTTCACTATAATATGACTTAATTTTTAAACCCCAAGCCTGGAAGCTAAAGAATAGAATCTTTGAAATTGAGACCATTCTGGAAAGTTGTTACCATACTTGAAACCCATGTATTCTCCACTGGTTACGTTCTACCACCTTAATAGGAGACCAGAATGAGGCATGTGGTATGCAGGCCTAACCCTGTACTTTTCATGCACAACTTAGACTGCCAGGGCTCACCTGCAGGACTGGTAGCTGGAAACCAGGAAGACACTGTAGTGTGTTTCTGCTTTCCCTCTGACCTGAAGGATAGAATGGAATAAAGGATAACTTTCTGGGTAGATCTTCAACAGTGTTGCTTATGGACAAGAGTAAATAGGTAGTTCTTAATATATGGAACACTACTCAGAAGGGAAAAAGACTGTTAACTAAGCAATTTATGACATGGGTTTTAAAGTCCATCCTTTTCCTATGGCGACAGGGTGCTAACAGAAAGGTCTGATACTTGAGTTTAACTATGAGTAGAATGAAGTACAATCAATATAAAGATTTTGGTGAGTTACGGAAGATGACAGCCCCTTGTCAAGAGGACTGGTAGCAAAGGTACCTTCACTGCAAAAGATGCGGACAAAAAAGGATACTGGTTTTGTCATTCTCATCAATGTTCAAAAACAGGGATCTAAAAAAAAAGAGCCAGTTTTGTTCCACAGGCCAACCTTCTAGCTAAATAGCAGAACTCAACTGTAACAGGATGAGTGCTATTCAGGCAAAATCCTAATGGTTCCCTTTACTGTGAAGAAAATGGGGTAACTCTTGAAGCATATTAAGAACTCAAACTGGAGACAATGCTATTTGAGGGGGACAAATCCCAGTTTCTCTTTGAGGGGGACAAATCCCAGTTTCTCTTCACCCTGAAAATCTTTATTTTAGTATATATGTCAATGGTTGAAACTCCACTCCTTTGGGAATGTCATTTAACTTACCTGAATTGTTGGGAGTGAGGATTCTTGTGTGATCAGAATCCCCACCATTTGGGGATGGTCTGAAAGGAAAAATTCCCTGTCCAGAGGAGGCATATGAAGGCCTATGGAAGGGAAAGAAAAGCATCAGCAGAAAAAAGAAAAGGTAAAGGTGGAAATCATATATAAAAGAAGAGCCCATACAGTTTGATCAGAAGGAAATAACCCCCTGCTTGCAATTGAGAATGAGAGGAAATTAACAGATGTATATTAGACACAATACTATTCAACCTTTTTTGTTTAAAAGGTAGACTATAAACTTAAGTGGTACAGGCCAGTGAGGAAGTAACCTGGTGGTACAACGAGTCATAAGAAATACATATTTGGTCATTCATACAACCAAATATATATTTCCCAGGTATATTTGGGCTTCATCCACAATTCCTGAAAACACTGCAGAATCTTCAAGGTGAAATGGGTGTTCATAAATGAAATCATGTTAATGAGAGACTTTCAGACCCTGTACCCAAGGGCAGGGGCTGGAGGTTGAATCAGCAATGGTCAGTAATTATTAAGTCAATCATGAATATGCAATGAAGTCCTCACAAAAAGAGAGCTTATCACT